GGTTCCTTGAGACTCCATATGACTTTTAGTATTAGTTTTTCTATTCTAGATGAAATGCCACTGGTATTTTGATCAGGATTTCATGGAATTATAGATTGCTTTGGGTGATGTTAGTAATACTAAGTCTTTAATCCATGAATATGGGGTGTGTTTCCTTTTATTTTTGTCTTTAATTCCTTTCAGCAGTTTTATATAGTTTACTGTAAGTATACAAGTCTATTGCCTCATTGGTTAAATTTATTTCTAAGTATATGCTTTTTTATTCTATTTTAAAGGAATTATTTTATTTCCTTTTCAAACTGTTCATTATTAGTGAATAGAAAGACATCTGATATGTGTGTTGATTTTTATCCTACATCTTTTCTAAATTCTTTTTAGCCCTGCTAGTATTTGTATGGCATCTTTAGGGTTACCTACATATACAATCATTGATGCAGACTCCAACCAGCAGGGTCCATGTGTTGTGGCTGCAACAAACAAATTCACATGAACTGCAGAAGTCCTGTGGAGAAACAGGAATGGCATGGCCACTCTCTGAGTGAGAGAGTGCCCTGACCCTTGCCTGGACAGGCTTTTATTGCTTTTCTGGGCACACTACATGGAGGATGGTCCTCATTTTCTATGCTCAAGTTCATTTTAGGTGATTACCTTTTATAGATAACAAAGGAAAGGATGTTGCTGATTACTGCAAAAAAAAAGGATGTTGCAAATGGAAGGGAGAAAGTGGTTGAACTGGTTACACTCCATCCTTAGGAGGTTTAGCACAACTTTAGGAAGTTACTTTAAAGATATGCAGTAAATGTTTGCTCCCTCAATTCAGAATGAGGGAGTTTTAGAAAAAGCAAGCCTCGTAGCAGCCTAGGTACAATGAAGGCCTGGTTCCCCATGGGAAAACCAATCTGTGGGCCTGGCTCTTGTATGCCACCTTGGTCCTGCCAGCTTCCTGAATCAGGGGCTGGGCTATATTCACCACTGCCACATGGATCAGTTCCCTATAAATTATGTCATTTGCAAAAAGATATTTTACCTCTTTTACAATTTGGGTTCCTTTTACTTTTATTTCTTTTTGTTGCCTAATTTCTGTGGCTAGAAGTTACAATAATATGTTAACAAGCAATGGCAAAAGTACATATCATCATCTTTTTCCACATCTTAGAAGAAAACTTGTCATTTTTATTTCCTTATCATCTTACTATAATGTTAGCTGTGGGGTTTTCTTATATTGCCTTTATTATGTTGATGTAGTTTTCCTCAATTAGTCATTTATTGGATTTTTTTATCATGAACATATGTTGAAATGTGTGACATTCTCTTTTGCATTATTTGAAAGGATTATGGATGAGTTTTCATTCTGTAATGTGTATAATGTTAATTGAATTTCATGTATTGAACCATCCTTGCATTCCAGGAATAAATCCCTCTTGGTTGTGATGCATTACCTATTTAACATTCTGCTGAGTTCATTGCTAGAGTGTTGTTGAGGGTTTTGCATCAGTGCTCATAAGAGATAGTGGTCTGTAGTTTTCTTCCATTCGGCTTTAGTAATGCTGTCCTCATAGAATGAGGTAGGAAGTATTTTGACTCCTTAATTTTGGGGATTTGAGCAGGGTTGGTATTAATTTTTCATTAAATGTTTGGTAGAATTCAGCAGTGGAAGCCATTTAATCTGGAGCTTTTCTTTGTTGGGAGGTATTTGATTGCCAATTCTCTTGTTATTGGTCTGTTCAGATTTTCTGTTTCTTCCTGATTCAGTTTTGGTAAATTGTACATTTTTAACAATTTGTTCATTTCATCTAATTTTCCAGTTTCTTGGCATGCAGTTGTTCATAGTATTCTTCCTAACCATTTTCATTTCTGTAAGGTTGATCAAGTGCACATTTTCTTTCTAGTTTTAGAAATTTGGTTCTTCTCTCTTTTTTTTTTTCTTAGTGCACCTAAAAAATTACCAATCTTTTCAAAGAAACAATTTTTGGTTTCATTGGTTTTTCTTTTTTTTTTTCCTATTCACCATTTCCTTATCTAAACTCTAATCTTTATTATTCATTCCTTCTGCTAAGTTTGGATTTAGTTTGTTCTTTTTCTAGTTCCTAAGGTGTAAAGGTAGGTTGTTGGTTTGCCATCTCTTTTTTAATGCATTTACAGTATGCATTTCCCTTTTATTTCACTTTTCACTGCATCCAAAATTTGGAAGTTTAATCATTTACATTTAAAGTAATTACTGATAGGAAGGACTTCTTCCATGTTGTTGTTTTCACTATGTCTTACAGCTTTTTTGTAGTTTTATTTAATGTATCACTACCTTCCTTTCTGTTTACTTGTTTTTGTGTGTGTGTGGTAAAAATTTTTATTCCATTCTTATTTCTTTTTTGCATATTTTAGTTTCTTTGTGGTTACCATGGGTATTACATATAACACTTCAAAGTTATGACAGTCTGTATATAATTAATACCAGCCTAACTGAATTGCATATAAAAAGTACACTCTTTTACATCTCCACACCCTGTTGGTTTGGCTGGCACAATTGCATCTTTACATATTGTGTACCCTCATCATAGATTAATGGTCATTTTATGTATTTGTCCTTTAGATCCTATAGAAAATAAAAAGTGGAGTTATAAATTAAAATTACAGCAATACTAGATCTTATATTTGCTCATGTATTTATTTTATTTTTTACCAGAGGTGTTTCTTTTTGTATAGCTTTGAGTTATTGTCTAGCCTCCTTTCATTTTAACCTGCAGGATTTCCTTTAGAATTTCTCATAGGACAGGTTTATTGGTAATGACTTCCATTAGTTTTTGTTTATCTGGGACTGTTTTAATTTCTCCCTCAGTTTTTTGAAGGATAACTTTGTCAGGTATAGAAGTCTCAGTTTGTGTTTTTTTCCTTTTAACACTTTAAATATGTCATCTCACTGCCTTCTAGCTTCCAAGGTTTCTGCTGAAAATTTTAGTGAGGATCCTTTGTGTGGGATAAATTGCATTTCTGTGGCTGTTTTCAAGATTCTCTATTTGTCTTTTGGCAGTTTGATTATGTTGTGTTTCAGTGTAGGATCTCTTGGTTTATTCTGCTTAGATTTCTTTTGAATTCTTGGATTTCTAAATTCATGCATTTTATATAATTTTGGAAGTTCTAAACAATTGTTTCTTCAAATAATTTCTCCATATCCATCTTTCTCTTCTTTTGGAACTCCCATAATATACATGTTGATCCTCTTGAAGAGTATCCCTAAAATTCCATAGGCTCTGTTTACTTCTCTTGATTCTTTTTTCTTTCTGCTCCTCAAACTCAATAATTATATTTGTCCTATCTTCAAATTTCCTGAGTGTTATTTCTGCTTAAATCTGAAGTTGGACCCTATAGTGAATTTTTCATTTCCGTTATTGTACTTCTAAGTGACAGATTTTATGTTTGGTTCCTTTTAAATAATTTCTATCTCTGTGTCCTTCATTGCTTTCCTGGTTTCCTTTGCATGCCTTGTGGTGTTCTGTTGAAAATTTGGCATGGCCACCTATCCCTATTATTGCATACTGGCTCTTCGCTGGGGCTGTCCTTCACTAAGTAGCCTTGGGATCAACATGAGATGACGGCTTAAGAATTCTTAGGTCTCTTGTGAGAATTCTTGCCTGGGTCTGAGTGTGGCTTTTTTATTATTTTGCATACATAGCTGCCTTTAAATGTCATAATTTACCAAAGAGTCAACTTCTCCTCTGAGCCTCAGATGGTCTTTTGTATCTTTTCACCTGTAATCTCCTATGCAGGTATCTACAGCTCTGGTCTTCCTGCAACCTTCACAAGTAGTTCCCAGTGTTCCCAAGTTAGGTAAAACAGACTAGTTCTTCAGGAAGCCCCCAAATAAATTAGAAAGTTGCAAATAAAGTCTGCTTTGCTTCCTTTGGTTTGAGCAAAGGAACTGGGAACTTTGGTGCTATCTTCAGACCTAGAGTGTACCGTGCCACGGAGGGGCCAGACAAGGACAAGTAAAAACACCATAACTCTTTTGACTGTTTTGAGGGTGACTTTTTATTGACTGGGCATTTGCTTCATTTCTTTGTACCTTTGTCTATTTTCCAGAGTTCCTGTAAGATGATTTTACTCATTTTTGCATATTTTTTGACATCTTTGTTGGGTAAAAGGGCTTAAAGTTTCCTAGCCGGCCATTTTGCTGACATCGCTACATAAGCATGAGTTTTTAGGAACCATATAGTTGTCAAATGACCATTTTTTTCTCCTAAAGAAATCACTTTCGAAGATTATATATACAATTACTAAAAGGTTTTTTAGATGCCTCTTCTAGAGTCTATATTACATTATTGTTACTCCTTAGTGTGGCAGACTATCCTTTTTTGAGGCCAGATTTGGTTTTGAGGAAATAATCAAAAGACACTTGTTTGGTGAATTAAACGAATAAGTTAAACACTACAATTTTGGGTACAAATTGTTTAATTGCCATAGTGAGGCAATTTCACTATAGGTCTACAAATATTTTGAGTAATGAGATACAAGAAATGAAAGAACAACTACATAGCCTTCCTGATGACCTTGAAGATTATACTTAATTGATACCTAAGTTCCAATATGGTGGAGTAAATTTAAATTACCATTTTATATTCATGTAACATGTATCTATTGATGGAAATTTTAAACTGTGCATGTAGATCCTATTGAGAAATGAGTCTAGATGTGCCTTTGTACTGGCATAAGTGACTGCAAGGTAGTGGGGATTTCTATTTTAAGGAGAATCATCTAGGGTCTGCCTTAACCTTGTAGATCTGTGAGATGTATTTGCAAAATAACCTACAAAATGTACTTTTTTCCTTGTTATCCATACATAGCTTTCCAGTGTAATATATTTCAGTTCAATTGAGTGCCTTAGTTAACCATATTAAGTTCATAAACTAGGGAAATTACCCTTTTGTTAACTATTCAGTTACTATAACTCCCTTTCTCACATAAGTGTTTATGAAATTGTGCAAATAACTTTGGGATCTTATATGAAGGAAAAAGAACTTGTGTGAAGAAGTAGTAAGAAATACAGATGATTATTTATCAAACATAATAATGGCTAAAAACTGCATTGAAGAGAAAAAAAATGATTTGGATGCAGCTATGAAGATAGCAAGAGAGTTAAAATCAGCACCTTCGCTAAGGACTTATTGTGACCTGAATCAGGTAATTTTAATAGTTTGTGATGTGATTTCTTTTTTCTCTTTTTAAAAATTGTATTTTTCAGATGCAGTTTACATTCAGTATTATTTTCTTATATGCTTCACATGTGTAGCATAGTGGTTTACATACTTTACAAAGTGGTCCCCTGATATTTCAAGTACCCACTTGGCATTATACATATCATTACAATATTGTTAACTGTATTCCCTATGCTGTATTTTAACATCTTGTGACTATATTGGAACTAGAGATTTGGACTTCTTAATCCCATCACGTTTTTCACTCAGTCTCCCAACCCCCCTCTTCTCTGGCAAACATCAGTCTATTCTCTGTATCTGAGTCTCTTTCTAGTTCGTTTGTTCTGTTCTTTAGATTTCACATACAAGTGAAATCTTGGTATGTGTCTTTCTCTGTCAGACATTTCATTTAATATAATACCTTCTAGGTCCATCTATGCTACCACAAATGGTAAGATTTCATTCATTTTTATGGCTGAGACATAGTCTATTGTATATATGTGCCAAAGCTTTTTTTAATCCAGCTTGTCTATTGATGGACACTTGGGTGGCTTCCATATATTGGCTCTCGTAAATACACTGCAATGAACATAGGGATACATATATTCTTTCAAATTAGTGTTTTGGGTTTCTTCCTATGTACACACCCAGCAATGGAATCACTGGGTTATAAGGTAAGTTCTATTTTTAATTTTTTGAGGACCCTACATACCATTTTACAGAGTGCACCAATCTGCATTCCTTCCAGTAGAGCACATCTTCCCTTTTCTCCACATCCTTGCCAACATTTGTTGTTTGTTGATTTATTGATGCAGCCATTCTGACAGGTATGAGATATCTCATTATGGTTTTAATTTGCATTTCTCTGATGATTAGTAATGTTGAGCAACTTTTCATATGTCTGTTGGCCATCTGTATGCTCTCTTTGGAGAAGTCACTATTCAGGTCCTCTGCCTATTTTTTAGTTTGTTTGTTTATTTGTTTGTTTTAGTGTTGGGTTATATGAGTTCCTTTATTTATTTTTATTTTTTTATGTTGTTCAAGTACAGTTGTCTTTATTTTCACCCCACCACACCCCCTGACCCAGACATTCCCACCTCCCACCCTCAAACCTACCCGCTTTGGTTTTGTCCATGTGTCCTTTATACATGTTCCTTGATGGTCCTTCCCTTGTTTTTCCCCATTACCCCTCTCCCCTCTGGTTACTGTCAGTTTGTTCTTTATTTCCATATCTCTGGTTGTATTTTGCTTGCTTGCTTGTTTTGTTGATTAGGTTTCACTTATAGGTGAAATAGATCATGTGGATTCTTTATAAAGTTTAGATACTAACTCCTTATCGGATATATCACTGAATATGTTTTCCTGTTCAGTGGGTTGTCTGTTCTGTTGATGATATCCTGTGCTATGCAAAACCTTTTTAGTTTGATGTAGTCCCATTTGTTTATTTTTTTCTTTTCTCTCCCTTGCCCAAGGAGATATATCAGAAAAATATTGCTAAGAGAAATGTCAGATATTTTACTGCCTATGTTTTCTTCTAGGAGTTATATCATTTTAAGTCTTACATATACGTCTTTAATCCATTTTGAGTTTATTCTTTTATATGGTGTAAGAAGGTGATCTATTTTCATTTTTTCACATATCAGATTTTCTCAGCACCATTTATTGAGTAGATTGTCTTTACCTTATTGTATGTTCTTGCCTCCTTTTTCAAATACAAAATGACCAGATAGGCATGGATTCTAGGTTCTCTGTTCTGTTCCATTGATCTATGTATCAGTTTTTAAGCCATTATCATGCTGTTTTGATTACCAGAGCCTTGTAGTATAGTTTGAAATATCAGGTAGCATGATACCTCTGACTTTGTTCTTTTTCAAGATTGCTATGTCTTGATGTGATTATTTCTGAGGTATCTTATTTTACATGTTTTAAATACAATATTTGAGAATATATGTCAGATTTTCTTGCATTGGCATAAAATTAGAATTATTAGTTTGAGTTTTAAGACAAACATTAAGAAATTTGTTTATCTTTTTATATTTATCACTTAGGTAAATGGTTAGTAAGGTTTTTATAAAACGTGATATGAGAACAAGTATAATGACATTGAGTTGAAAAATGATGTTTCTAGGACATTTGAATAAACAATCAAGACAAGTAGGGGTTGCAAACTAAATGGGACTCTGTTTTCTTTTTTACATACAATATAGGTATGACTGCCAACTTTTGACTTAAAAATTCCATTCAGGTTGCCCTGGCTGGCATAACTCAGTGGATTGAGTGCGGGCCTCGAACCAGGCATCACAGGTTCGATTCTCAGTCAGGGCACATGCATGGGTTGCAGGCCATGGCCCCCAGCAACTACACATTGATGTTTCTCTCTCTCTCTCTCTCTCTCTCTCTCTCTCTCTCTCAAAAAGAAAAAATAGAAAAAAAATTCCATTCAGGTTTTTTTTTCTACCCTTCTGCCTCCCTAATGTGCAGGTGAGGAAAAGAGGTGCTTCATCTATGTCCAGTCATTTAATTATGTGCCCAGGGAACAGAGTTGGGCAAAAATTCAGAAACATGTTTCTTAAAAGATCATTTAGCAGGAATAGAGTTAACCATCTGTCCTATGCTAATTTCTACCTTGCTTCCTTGGGGAATAGATCATACTTTTGTCTTTGAATCCTTAGGGCCTCACTTCCCATAGATAATCAAATGTTTGGACTGAACTGAGTGCAAATAGAAGCCATTTGTTTATCTGCCTCCAAAGTCTCTAACTTGAAGTGAAAGGATAAGAGTTTGTCACTGTCTTACTTGGCCAGGCCTCCTTCCAACTGTAGTTCTAAAAATAGTAACAGTCCTTTCTAGTGGATCACACATGAGGCATTAGGAAGTTTTGAAAAATGGTAAGGTTTTTATTCTAGTTAGCCTCATTAGGAAGATAGGGCAAAAAAGGAGAGAGAGAAACATTTGAGGACAGCAATGCAGATGCAAAATGAGTCTGATCAGAATTTCCTCTGGTCATGTAGCTATATCTCATTTATTAACAAGTGCCTTTTGTTGTTATTTGTTAATATATATCTCCAAAAGATTTAAATTCTTTTTAGGAAGGAAGAAGTCATAAACACTTACTTACATTCCTTCTTTCACCTTTCACATGCCTAAAATCAAACCTTGAATACATTAATTAGCAAAATCCTAAAGGATATAGTTTTCCTTCTAAAATCTTATTCTGTTTCAACAACATCAAAAGAAAATTTACATTTGAGTGACACCTCTATTTTGATTCTAGATTATCCGGACTTTGAAGTTAACATTTGAGAGTGAGTTGTCACAAGTTAGCACTCTAAAACTAAGGAACTCTCTCAGGTAAGTTGTAATTTAGGAAAACAGCATATATACAAATGTATTAGAGCCTAATTTATTAAAATGTCAAGCAATTATAAATTGAAAATTTGGGTCACAAATGTTTCACAAGTTAGCCATCAAATTTAAATAAGTGTAATATATGGTAAGCATGAAAGTTATTTAAATGTTCTGTCTTTTAGAGGGTTTTTTAAATTTTTATTGTTTTTTTATTATCATTTAGTCCCCTTATACCTCCCTCCCCCCTGAATCATCATATTGTTGTCCATGTCCATGAGTCCTTTTTCCTCTTTGCTCTGTCCCTCCACCCCCTAACCTCCCCACAAGAACTGTTATGCTGCTATGAGTCTGCCTCTATTTTGCTTGTTAGTTCAGTTTCTTCATTAGATTCCACGTATGAGTGAAATCACATGGCATTTGTCTTTGTCTGACTGGCTTATTCCACTTAGCATAAGTGTCAGCAACTGGTTTTTATTTCGAGAAAGTAATAAACTTGTTTTAGAACATTTATTTATATGCCAGTGTTTATTGTAGGTTGAATATGAGTTGCAGTGAGATCATCTCTGTGTTCAACAATATGATAAAGATTAACTTTGAGGACTCAACAAAGTAAGTATTTATAAGAATGACAACATAATGTAGTGACAGGGCTTAAGAGACAGGAAATTTGATGCTTAGGATAGTGCAGGGGTGTCAAACTCATTTTCACCGGGGGCCTCATCAGCCTCGTAGTTGCCTTCAAGGGGCCGAATGTAATCTTAGGACTGTATAAATGTAACTACTGCTTAATTAAGGGCAAGGTGCTCTGCGCTGCCACTGGACAGAAACAAGGTACCAGGCCAGATAAACAAGGTGGAGGGCAGGATTCGGCCCACGGGCCTTGTGTTTAACCCCTGTGGTTACTGTATATGATTCAGAAGTTGAAAAACAGAGCAAAATTTTTTCAGTCAGTTATATTCTATGTTAAACATATAAGAATAAAAATACCTAGGAGGGATATTCAATGATATATGTGTCAAAGTTATCTCTAGAGATTTTATTCACTCAGTCAGCATTGAACACTGATTTTGTGCTAGGCATTAACACCCTAGATTGTGAGATATAAGTCTGAAAGTTATAAGTAAAGGATGACACATGTAAACAATAAAGTACAAAATTGCTATGATGGTAATATGTGCAGAATTAAGCGGAGATACAAAGGAAGGGAATGGTCACCTCTTCTGAGAGTAACAAGAAATCCGGAAAGGGAGATTTTATTTTCCCTCATCCATGAAAAATGAGTAGCAATTGCAAAGGACAGAAGGGATATAGGCATCTTAGAAAGATGTGTGTGCATGGAGATTACACACTACATTCAGGGAGCTACATTTGGCAGAGGATACATGGAGACTAAATTCTAAAAACTTTGTATGCTATACAGAGGTATTTGAACTTCAGTTTCTAGACTTGTGCTGTCAGTGTGGCAGCCAGTAACCACACACAGCCATTTAAATTTAAGATTAATGATTTAAACTTAAGCTGAGAAATTCAGTTCCTCAGTTACACTGCTACATTTCAAGTCTCAGTAGCTGCTTGTGGTTAGTGGCTCCTATATTAGATGGTGCAGCAGATTTTCACGACGACAGAAAGTTCTGTTGTACGGCACAGCTGTAGACAACCACTAAAAAATTCTCAGCGTGAAAGTAAAATAATTAGTTTACATTTTTAAAAGTTCACTGTGGTGATTAACAGGATTATTCAGAAGAGTTGGAGGCTGGGGCCGGAGACTGTATTGTCGGTAGTCTCAGTAAATGATGAGAAACCAAATGTAGGTAATAACACTGGAGAGTGATACGGCAAATGTGGTGCATGCCTTGCCACCACAGGGAACACCTTTCCAGAGGACTTGGCTCTAGTCATCTTCCCCCAACATGGAGTCCTGCCCTGTATGTGTCTTTGTAACTTTCCTTTTGTGCTTCCATGGATCATTATCATTTTTTAAATTAGTACATTATTAGTGTACTAATTATTAGTACATTAGTACATTTTAGATATTTTCCTAACTTGAATATGGTTACTATCAAATATTTTTAATCAAAAAGCTATCCAGTTTCCCTGGCTGATGTGGCACAGTGGATTATGCACTGGCCGGAGAACTGAAAGGTTGCCAGTTTGATTCCCAGTCAGGACCCATTCCTGGGTTGCAGACCAGGTCCCTAGTGGCAGTGGTGGTCGAGCGTAGGGGGTGCGGGAGGCAGCACAAGAGGCAACCCCACATTGTTATTTCTCCCCCTTTCTTTCTCCTTCTTTTCCTTTCTCTCTAAAAATAAATAAATAAATTTGTAAAATTTAATAAATTTGTAAATACATAAATAAATTCTTTTTAAAATTTGTTATAAAAAGAAATATTTGCATTGCAATGTTGTGCCCATATGTGCATCCTCAAGGTGCTTGGAACTTCATTCCACATGGACTAATTTTACATGGGTGAAGTACACAATCACTGTTGGAAGAAACAGATGTGTTATTACTGAATCCATCTGGCTATATTGGTTATTATTTCTAAAATGCTTCTTAAATGCTGATCTGTGACAAAGCTAAACCCATCAAGGGTTAACTAACATGCAAGCTTTTGAGACCCAATCTCATTTCTTTGATATACTTACTTTTTTAAATTATATTTTATTGATTATGCTATTACAGTTGTCCTGATTTTTACCCCTTTGCCCCCTCCACCCAGCAACCCCCACACCCTCAAACAGTCCCCAAACCATTGTTCATGTCTGTGAGTTGTACATAAAAGTTCTTTGACTACTCCATTTCCTAAACTGTAGTTTACATCCTTGTGGCTATTCAATAACTACCTATTTGCAGTACTTAATCACCTTACCTCTTTACTAATACCCCCAATACCCCCTTCCCATCTAGCAACCATCAAAACACTCTTCATATCTATGATTCTGACTCTGTTCTTGTTTGCTTAGTTTGTTTTTAATTCAGTTGTTGATAGATATGTATTTTTGCCATTTTATTGTTCATGGTTTTGATTATCTTCCTTTTCTTAAATAAGTCCCTTTAATATTTCATATAATAATGGTTTGGTGGTGATGAACTTTTTTAGTTTTTTTCTTGTCTGCCCTTTATCTGCCCTTCAATTCTGAATGGTAGCTTTGCTGGGTAGAGCAATCGTGGCTGTAGATATCTGCTTTTCATGACTTTAAATATTTCTTGCCAATCTCTTCCAACCTGCAGAGTTTGTTTTACAGTCTCTGGGATCTCCCCTGTAGGTAACTAACTGCTTTTCTCTTCCTGCTTTTAAGATTAAATCTTGATCTTTAACCTTTAGCTTTTTAATTGTGATGTGTCTTGGAATAGGCCTCTTTGCATCCATCCTGTTCCAGGACTCACTGGCTTCTTGGACTTTCATGTGTATTTCCTTCATGAAATTAGGGAAATTTTCTTTCATCATTCAAATAATTTTACAGTTTTTTGCTCTTTTTTCTTCTCCCTCTGGCACACATAGGATGCAAATGTTGGACTTCTTGAATTTCTCCCAAAGGCAACTTATACTGTCCTCATTTTTTTGGATTCTTTTTTCTTCTTGTTGTTTTGATTGGTGGTTTTTTGCTTCCTTATATGGTGCAGACCCCAGCCCCAGGGGGTCCATGTGGCTGTGATGGACAAATTCACATGGACTACAGAAGTCCTGTGGAGAAAAGGGGATGGCATGGCCACTCTCTAAGTGAGAGAGACTATGACCCTTCCTGGACAGGCTTTATTGCTTTTCTGGGTACATCACATGAGGATGGTCCTCATTTGCTATGCACAGGTTCGCTGCAGGTGATTACCTTTTACAGATAACAAAGGAAAGAATGTTGCTAATTACTTCAGAGAAAAGGATGTTGCAGATCAAAGGAAAAGTGGTTGAACTGGTTACATTCCATCCTTGGGAGGTTTAGCACAGACTTTAGGAAGTTACTTTAAAGATATGCAGTAAATGTTTGCTGCCTCAATTCAGGCTTAAGGAGTTTTAGCAAAAGCAAGCCTCATAGCAGCCTAGGTACATACAGTGCAGGCCTGATTTCCCATGAGAAAACCAATCCATTGGTGTGGGTCCTGTGTGTCAACTCGCTCCCCACTGGACTTTCTGAGTTAGGGACTGGGCTACATTTGCCACACCACACAAAATGGTTCCCTATACTTATGTTTCAAATTATTGATTTGATTCTCAGCTTCATCTATTCTACTGTACTTCCCCTGTAAATTGTTCTTTATTTCAATTAGTGTATCCTCCATTTCTTTATTTTTTAATACATTTTATTGATTATGCTATTACAGTTGTCCCAGTTTTTACTCCCCTTTATTCCCCTCTGCCCTGCATTCAGCTCTCCCACCAGCATTCCCCCCACTTAGTCCATGTCCATGGGACGTACACATAAGTTCTTTGGCTTGTCCATTGCCTATACTGTTTGTAACTTCCTCCTGTCTGTTTTGTACCTACCATTATGCTCCTTATTCCCTGTACCTTTTCACCCATTCTCCCCCTACCCCCTCCATGCTAATAGCCCTCCACGTGATCTCCATTTCTGTTCCTGTTCTAGTCGTTTGCTTAATTGGTTTTGTTTTAGGTTCAGCTATTGATAGTTGTAAGTTTGTTGTCATTTCACTGTTAATATTTTTTATCATCCTCTTTTTCTTAGATAAGTCCCTTTAAAATTTCATGTAATAAGGGCTTGGCAATAGACTCCTTTACCTTATCTGGGAAGCACTTTATCTGCCCTTCCATTCTAAATGATAGCTTTGCTGGATAGAGCAATCTTGAATGTAGGTCCTTGCCTTTCATGACTTGGAATACTTCCTCCCAGCCCTTTCTTCCCTGCAAGGTCTCTTTTGAGAAATCAGCTGATAGTCTTATGGAAACTCCTTTGTAGGTAACTCTCCTTTTTTCTTGCTGCTTTTAAGATTCTCTCCTTATTGTTAATCTTTTTTTTTTCATTTTGTTCATTTCTTTTTCTTTTTTTATATATTTTATTGATTATGCTATTACAGTTGTCCCATTTTTCCCCCTTCACTCCTCTCTACCCTGCATGCCCCCTCTTGCCCACCTTCCCCCACTTTAGTTAATTTCCATGTGTCACACATACAAGTTCTTGGGCTTCTACTTTTCCCATACTGTTTTTACCCTCCCCCTGTCTTTTCTACTTACCATCTATGCTACTTATTCTCTGTACCTTTTCCCCCTCTCTCCCCCTCCCACTCCCCTGTTCATAACCCACCGTGTGATCTCCATTTCTGTGGTTCTGTTCCTGTTCTGGTTGTTTGCTTAGTTTGCTTTTGCTTTTGTTTTAGGTGTGGTTGTTAGTAATTGTGAGTTTTCTGTCATTTTACTATACATGTTTTTTATCTTCTTTTTCTTAGATAAGTCCCTTTAACATTTCATAAAATAAGGGCTTGGTGATGATGAACTTTAACTTGACCTTATTTGGGAAGCACTTTATCTGTCCTTCCATTCTAAATGAAAGCTTTGCTGGATAGAGTCATCTTGGATGTAGGTCCTTGCCTTTCATGACTTTGAATACTTCTTTCTAGCCCCTTCTTGTCTGTAAGGTTTCTTTTGAGAAATCAGCTGACAGTCTGATGGGAACTCCTTTGTAGGTTACTGCTTTCTTTTCTCTTGCTTCTTCTAAGATTCTATCCTTATTTTTAATCTTGGGTAACTTAATTATGATGTGGCTTGGTGTGTTTCTCCTTGGGTCTCACTTCTTTGGGAATCTCTGAGCTTCCTGGACTTCCTGGAAGTCTATTTCCTTTGCCAGATTGAGGAAGTTCTCCTTCATTATTTGTTCAAGTAAGTTTCCAGTTAGTTGCTCTTCCTCTTATCCTTATGGCACCCCCTATAATTCAGATGTTGTAATGTTTAAAGATGTCCTGGAGGTTTTTAAGCCTCTTCTCATTTTTTTGAAATTTTATTTCTTCATTCTTTTCTGATTGGATGTTTCTTCCTTCCTTCTGGTCTGCACCATTGACTTGAGTCCCAGTTTCTTTCCCATCACTATTGGTTCCCCGTACACTTTCCTTTATTTCCGTTAGCATAGCCTTCACTTATTTCATCTAATTTGCGACCAAACTCAGCCAATTCTGTGAGCATCCTGATTACCAGTGTTTTGAACTGTGCATCTGATAGGTTGGCTCTTCGTCACTTAGTTGTAGTTTTTTCTGCAGCTTTGATCTGTTCTTTCATTTGGCCTTCTTTTTTTTTCTCTTGGCGCACCTTTTACATAGTAAGGGGCAAAGCCTTAGGTGTTCACCAGGGTGGGGTAACCCGAGTCGCTGTGTTGTGATGCTGTATGTGGGGAAGGGGTCCAAGAGGGAACAGTGGCGCATGCTCCAATCTCTGGTGAATTTCAGTCACGTCCCCCGCTACCCACAAGCAAATTGGACCCTTCTGGTGCTGGTTCCTTTGTGGGTAGATTTGTGTACATTTTAGGACCCTGTGGGTCTCTCTAACGAACTTTCCTGTGAGGCTGGGAGTTCCCACTCCCCGTTTGTGTCACATGGTTTATCTGGGTGCAAATGTGGGACCACCCAGTCTGCACCCTTGCCCACCCCATTCCACAATCCGCCACCTCGCTGGTCGGCCAACCACCGCCTCACGTGCCCCATCCACTAGCTACCGCCTTGCTGCGAGTCCTCTCCACCCTGCTGCCTGACTCTGCCCCTCCCACCAGTCTGGATGAATATGTCTTTAACTCCTTGGTTGTCAGACTTCCATGTAGTTTGATTTTCTGTCAGTTCTGGTTGTTTTTTGTTTTTAAATTGTTGTTCCTTTTTTAGTTGTGCAGGGAGGTACAGTGTGTCTACCTATGCCTCCATCTTGGCCGGAAGACCCCCTTATCTTTAATCTTGAGTAATTTAATTATGATGTGCATGGTGTGTTCCTCCTAGGATCCAACTTCTTTGGGACTCTCTGAGCTTCCTGGAATTCATGGAAGTCTATTTCCTTCACCAGATTGGGGAAATTTTCCTTCATTATTTTTTCAAATAAGTTTGGAATTTCTTGCTCTTCCTATTGTCCTGGCACCCCTATGTTTTGGATGTTGAAACACTTAAAGTTGTCCTAAAGCTTCCTAAGCCTCTCAGTTTGTTTTTTTTTTTTTTGGAATTCTTATTTCTTCATTCTGTTGTTGTTGAGTATTTATTTCTTCCTTCTGCTCCAAAAGGTTGATTTGAGTCCTGGTTTCCTTTCCTTCACTGTTGGTTTCCTATATACTTTATTTCACGTTGCATATCCTTCACTTCTTCCTCTATTTTGAGCCCATATGCAGTCATTTCTGTGATCATCCTGATTACCAATGTTTTGAACTCTGCATCTGATACGTTGTCTGTCTCCTCATGGCTAAGTTCTTTTCCTGGAGTTTTGGTTCATTCTTTCATTTGGGCCATTTTTTTTTGTCTTGGCACATGTGTTACATTGTAAGGGGCAGAGCCTTAGGTATGTGCCAGGGTGGGTCAACCTACTTTGTGGTGTATGTGGGGGAGGGGTCAGAGAGGGAGCAATGCCACTTGCTCGGCCCTCTCCCAAGTTTCAGTCACTTCCCCTGCTACCCACAAGCGAATTGGGCCTTTCTCATGTTGATTCCCGGATGGGTAGTTTTATGTACATTCTAGGACCCTGTGGGTCTCTCCAGTGAATACTCCTGTGAGGGTGAGAGTTTCTCCTGCTGCTGCAACCCCCACAGGTTTTTACAGCCAGAGGTTTTGAGACTTTATTTTGCTGTACTGGAACCCTGCATAGCATGTCCTGACTCACTCCCCAGTTGTTCCTCCCAGTTATCCACACACAAATGTAGGACTGCCCAGTCTACTAGCTGATGCCTTGCCTTCTCCAGTCCTCCATCCGCCTCCTTGCTGCACATCCTCTTCGTTGTGGCTGCCTATCTCCACCTCTTCTGCCAGTCTGAATGAATGTTTCTTCCTTAATTCCTTGGTTGTCAGACTTCAATATAGTTCAATTTTCTGGCATTTCTGGCTATTTTTTTTATTAAATTTGTCATTATCCTTTTTTTGGGGTGTGCAGGGAGGCAACATGTATCTACCTACATTTCCGTGTTGTCCGAAAGACTATTCTTCATTTCTGACTGAATCTTTTTTATGCTTCTGAGGTCCTCACTAAGTTTCTTGAGCATCCTTATAACCAGGATTTTAAACTCTGCATCTGATAAATTGCTTATCTCCATTTCATGTAGCTCTTTTCTGGAGTTTTTATCTGTATTTTCATTTGGGCCACATTTCTTTGTCTCCTCATTTTGGCAGCCTCCCTGTGTGTGTTTCTGTGTATTAGGTATAGCTGTGTTGACTCTGTATTTTGGTTGTGTGGTCTATTGTAATAAGTGTCCTATAGGGGCCAGTGGCACAGCCTCCCCTGTCATCCAAGCTGGGTTCTCAAGGTATGCCCTTTGTGTGGGCTGGGCACGTACTCCTCTCGTAGTTGAGCCTTGATTGTTGTTGGCAGATGAATGGCAGAGATTTACCTAGGCTAGTCAGCTGCAAGGATTGGCTATGACCACTGCCCACCAATCTCTACTCTCCTTGCAGAATCAGCTGTGCAAGGTGGTAGTGCTTTGATGTGGTTTGTAGCTGTTCACTGGGTGCGCTGGGCCTGGGGTTGCATTGGTAGTACAGGCCAAGGTCAGCCCCCACCTGTGTTTTGCCTGGGGCCACCCTTCCTGAACTATAAAGTAGTCTGAGATGTCCTTTACTTGTTCTGGGCTTTGAGATTCCCAGCAAAGCCAAGCTGTAAATTAGGATGGCTGTTTCTAGTGCCAGTCTTGGGGCCACTTAGCAAGAGATATGGGAGCTAGGGGCTCACTGAGGCCAGCTATTGCTCATTTGAGAGGATTTAGGAAGTTGTGAAACATGAGCCAAGACCAGCCATTCATATGGAAAAGGAGCTTGGATGGGCTTGTAAGCTGGGTGGGTTGGAGTCTTGGGATCTCCAAGATAGGTAAAATAGTAGCCAGATTGATGGAGTCTCAGATATGTCACCACCTTGCTGGCTCTATGGTTCTGTGGAGGAAGGGTTTAGAAAAGGGACAGTGGCCTGTGCTTGCCTTGATGCCAGACTCTTCAGTTTCTCCCAGTATGCCGGGTGCCTTTTAAGCTGCTGCCCCAGCATTGGCACTTAGAGGGAGTGAGTCTGAGTAGGTGAGTCCATGTGTGGATTCTTGAAGAGGAACTGCTTGGTGGTCCAGCAGTTTCTTCCACTGACTCAGTCCCCCTGGATGTTTAGCTCAAAGTTGTGGGGACTAATCTTCCTGGCACTGGAACCCTGGTCTAGGGGGTTGCCATGTGGGGCTGGGATTCCTCACTCCTGAGATATCCCTCTTGAATTTTTATCCAGCACACTTGTTGTCTGTACCCCTCCTGCCAGTCTGGATGGATCTAGTTTCTTTTATTCCATAGTTGTCAGACTTTCTTTCCATTCAACTTCTGATGGTTCTGAGTGATGGTTGTTCTATATTTCAGTTGTAATTTTGAAGTGGTCATGTGAAGAGGTGAGCCATGTCTGCCTAAGCTGCCTTGTTGAGTGGAAGTCTTGATAGAATTTTCAAAAATATTTTTTAAATTACTCATTTTTAGAAAAAAGGGAAGGAAGAGTGAAAGAGAGGGGAAGAAATATCGAAGCATGCATGAAAGATACATCAACTAGTCTCTTTGCACACCCCCAACTGGGGACTTGACATACAACCCAGACATGTTCCCTGACTGGGAATCGAACTGGTGACCTTTTAGTTTACAGGTTGGTGCTCAGTCCACTCAGCCACACTAGCCAGGGCTTGATAGAATTTCTATATTTGTGTATTTGGTTGCCTAAATCTGTGTGACTAATAAAGAAGATAGAAAAATACAAAGTAAACAGAATGAATTATCAGCTGTGGGTTAGTGAATAGTCATATCGAATAGTCTTATCCAAAGGGTTCAGACTAATGGTGATTTCTAGCCAAGGTTGAGGTTTCTAACATGTTTAGGATCATGCTTTTCACTGTTTCCTACACTTTACTTTTAGGCCAGTGAATTAATAGAAGTAATAGCATAATTTAAAATCAGACACCTAGACGAAATCAGAATGACTTCTTTTGAAAAATTATATCCACTGCTGTTTTAGGACCAGACCAGTGTAGTGTGATTGTCAACCTCTTTCTTCAGAATCACATTGATTACAACCTCTTGTTGCCCTTTAACAATCCTTGGGCTGAGAATATGCCATATTTCTGTGTATGTGTGTGGGTGTAGGGGGATAATAGAAATATTCTAAAATTAGATTGTGGTGATGGTTACACAAATCTTAGAGTTTAGTAAAAATTAGTGAATTAATTGTGTATAGATTATATATTATATATCAAAAAAGCTGCTAAACAGTACCCCAGACACCTGTATAACTTCACCCCTTTGTGTGTGTCACAAGTGTTAACTATCCTGTGGAAAGGAAATGGGTTGAGGGTAGACACAGAGATTTTATGAAGTGATCTAAAGTAGTCATGTGCTTCTGTGTTTTCAACAGATGTGATCCCCAGGAAAATGAAATTGGCCGGAATGTTCAAAATAATCATGAAAAGGAATTTTCTTGTGATACATTCCCATCACCAGGAAAAAAAAAGGTTGACGTGTCTGTCTTGACTAATGAAGCCCCTCCAACTCCTTTAAAATCAGAAACCAGTGATATGTATTTGGAAGCAAAAAACATCCAAGCACAGAAAGAGGTGGTTGTAACAACCCCTAAAACCATTGCTATTCTACCTAAGGTGGGATCTAGCCCTGATGTGATCATTGAAGAAATTATTGAAGAAAATCCAGAAAGTGAGTGACAATACGAAAGCAAGAAAATGAAGTATCATAATTAGAAACAAAGTTATTACCTTCTGTCCCTGTACTTCACAGAAAGGAACTGCTATTAGCTTACACCAGCCTCCACTATCAACTTTTTCTAAATGTAGGGTAATTTCTATTTTAGTACAGTAATACAGCTAAACTCTGAAGTGTAAATATAATATTTAGGGTATTTGACTTTCTAGTTCCACATATATATACCTTGTATAAAAAATGAAAATATAAATGAGATTTATAGAAGTAATCTCATGACTTTGACCTTAAGTAATAGCTTCTCCTAAATCTTTGAGATATAATCTGTTATAAACTGAATTATTGTGAATATATTATCTCTTTTGTAATATTTAAGTACATCATAATGATCTGATTAGATTTTCAGTGTTGGTGTTCTCTCTACTAACATGAGAGTGAGATACTACTATTTGGAGTTAGACTACCAGTCTTCTTGAAGACCATTTTTAAGATTCACTTGGTTCTCTGTCCCTGCCCCTGCCCCCCACACATATCTGTTTCATTGGTTGCTCTCCAGAGTGATGTTTGCATACAGAAAAAGGACATGCTGTTTGCTCTCATTTCTACTGAAATATCATCACTGACACCTCAGTGAGTTAAGAAGCCTCTCATGACTTTACCTACTGATACAAGGGGTCTTGCCTTTCCAGTATTTTGACAAATATAAATACAGCTTTTTAAACAATACTATGCCATTGTCAACTTAAAACAAAATTAGTACAATTGCCTTTATTTCCTATCTTGATGAAGCATGCCTCACAGATGATCTTATGGAGACACCTACTTATCCAAACAAGCCTCCTCAGAAAAAATCATCTATTCCTTTTGGATCAAAAGCAGGTACTTTAACAACTGAACTTGATGTTGGAGTGTTTGCTCTATGCATAGTAACTCTTATATAGGGTGAGGTAATGAGTAAAACTTTTTTTCAATGTTAAAAGTTTTGGTTGTTTTTGGCAAAAATATTTCTGAAATTTATAATGCTTCTCTCAGCTGCCTTCCCATTTACATGCATCCCTTTACCCCATCCTCAATATAGCTATTTTTTGTGATCTGTAGAATGGATAGTTAAATTGATCTATTCACTCAATTTTTATCTATATTTGTCTATCTCCAATTCCAGTCCTCCAAGTCTTTGTTTTTCAAACATTTTTACTAGGTAAAACATCTAGTAAAAATTAAATACATGTATTAAAATACCCTGTGAAACTTTTCCCCTAACCCACTCTATCCTGTTTGTCTCTCCCTTCCAGGGTTGGTTTATGCATATACAAGCAGATATACATAAATTATTTTTCTAGTTTTTTTTTACGGAAAACATAACATATCTATTAATGCTGATAACAAAGGAATTAACAGAATAGTGTTCTTAACATTATGCTCTGGAGATTTTTCATATCAGTAGTAACATTTGGCTTAATTACTGTTATATACAATAAATTCCTCATTTTCTTTTACTGTAGCCTACCCTGCCTCCATGAAAACACATACATCTTCCTCTAAATGCTGCTGTCTGTTGACTTTACCCAGACATTTTTTTCACACCTTTCTAACCTGATAAGATTTGGGATTCAGAGTGGCTCTGAGCTAATTGTTGATTCTTTAGGTATAGTATAGATTAAACAGGATTTGGGGAGCTATAGGAGAAACCTGATCATTTTCAATGTGGTTCTGAGTTTCAAATATGTTCATAAATAAACGCAGAAGTTTTATTATAATACAAGGGAGTTACAGCATACAGTTGACGTTAGAATCAACTACCACATGAACTGCAATTCTACTTAGTGAACATTTTTGCGAGTAAAATAAAATATTTGTGGTTCAGATAGCTAAAGAATTCCTTGTTGAAGATGTGATTTGTTTTAGCAGTCTAGTTACTATTTCGGGGTTGGATTCTTGTGGGACGTAAGTATTCTAGAGTTTGCAGAATACTGTTTTAGAGGATATTGCATTCAGTTTTAATGCATTTTTACCTGATTTATGGTTTATTAATGTTTAAATATTCTTATCCAGGTTCTCCAGAGCTTGTTTTTGTAAGTCATGTAATACACCCTTGCCACTTCTACATTCGGAAGTATTCACAAATAAATGATGCAACAGTGTTGGAAAAGATGGTGAATCAGTTCTGCAATAAGAGTTTGCACCTTGACCCTTCAGATATCTTGGAGCTAGGTAATGGAACATTACTCCAAGTTAAAATGTCAAGTTTATGTAAATATTGTAATATTTGTCTAACACATATAAACATTTATATTCTGAGCATAAGGGTTTTAAAATTATTGAACTTAAGTTAAATTTTGTTTAGATAAGTTAGCTAAATATTAAAATTAACCACTGAGTGAGATATATACAAAAACTCTATTATGGAGCAATATGAGTTTTGATTAAATGACAGAACTCAAGGCAGGGGAATTATGTAGTTTTCCCCCTTGTCTCCAGGGAAAATTATCCCTCATAGTGTGACAACAGTCCCCTGACGTCCACATATAAATGTTCAGGATATCATTGAACACTTGATGAGATGCAGGAGAATGGTGGCATCCATTTCCTAGAGCCTCCTGGAGGATAGTTAGAAAACTTAATCAGCCCATTCTAATTCTAACAGCATGTATTATTTGCTATAATTGAGGCTTTCATTACAAATATTTTCCTTTTAACTCTGTTGGCTAAATTTGATTATACTCCAATAAGGTGAATAAAGCTATGGTTTATTTGACTAATAGAGCATTTTTCTCATTTTCTTAATAGCAGTCAATATCAATATGTAACTAATGCCAAAAACTGTTACCTGTTTAGCCTTATTTAGTAATTCTTATTAAAGGTTGATTAATCGTAATTAAAATGGCAAAATTCCAAGACAAGGAGAGAATCTTAAAGGCAGCAAGGAAGAAACAGGAAGTAACATACAAGGGAGCCCCAGTAAGGCTAACAGTTGATTTCTCAATGGAAACATTCTAAGCCAGAAGAGAATGGCAAGAAATATTCCAAGTAATGAAAACCAGGGGCCTGCAACCAAGGCTACTTTACCCAGCAAGGCTCTCAGTTAAGATGGAAAGCCAAATAAGGAGCTTCCCACACAAAAGAAGGCTAAAAGAATATACCTCCACCAAACCAGCTCTGCAAGAGATGCTAAAGGGACTACTTTAAGAAAAGGAAGGAAAAGGGTAAGAAAGAGAGGAACACAGGTATGAAAAAATGGCAATGAATAAGTACCTATCAATAATAACCTTAAACATAAATGGATTAAATGCTCCAATAAAAAAACATAGAGTAGCTGAATGGATATGAAAGCATGACCCCCACATATGCTGCCTACAAAATAACTACCTCAAAACAAAAAACATACACAGACTGAAAGTGAAGGGCTGGAAACAAATATTCCAAGCAAATGGTCAGGGAAAAAAAGCTGGAGTAGCAGTACTCATATCAGACAAAGCAGATTTCAAAAAAAAGGGCCATAAACACAGATGCAGAAGGTCACTTCATAATACTCAAGGGAAGAATCCATCAAGAAGACATAAACATTATAAACATATATGCACCCAAAATAGGAGCACCCAAATATGTAAAGAAAATCTTGGAGGACATCAAGAAAGATATTGACAGAAACACAATTATAGTAGGGAATTTCAACACTCTGCTGTCAAAGTTGGATAGATCTTCCAAACAAAATATCATCAAAGACATTGTGGCATTGAACAGTATCCTAGATCAAATGAATTTAACTGATATATAGAGAGCCTTACATCCCAAAGAAGCAAAATACACATTCTTTTCAAATGCTCGTGGAACATTTTCAAGGATGGACCACATGATAGGTCACAAAACAAGCCTCAAGAAATTGAAGAAAATTGAAATCATATCAAGCATTTTTTCCAATCACAAGGGATTGAAACTAGAAACCAACCTCAATGGGAAAACTCCAAAACACTCAAACTCATGGAGATTGAATAGCATGCTATTAAATGGTGAATGGGTCAAGAATGAGACCAAGGAAGAAATCAAAAAGGTTTTGGAAACAAATGAAAATGAACTCATAACTACCCAAAACTTATGGGACACACCAAATGCAGACTTGAGAGGGAAGTTCATAGTGATACAGGCCTACCTAAAAAAAAAAAAATAGAAACATTTCAAATAAACAACCTAACCCTATGCCTACAAGAACTCGAGGAACAACAACAAAGACAGCCCAGAACAAGCAGAAGGAAGGAAATAACCAAGATCAGAGCATAATTAAACAACATAAAGACTAAAAACACAAATCTAAGGATCAATAAATCCAGGAGCTGGTTCTTTGAAAAGATAAACAAAATCAACAAGCCTGTAAGCAGACTCATCAAGAAAAAACAAGAGAGGACCCAAAGAAACACAATCAGAAATGAAAGAGGAGAGATTACAACTGATACCACAGAAATACAAAGGATTATAAGAAATTACTATGAATTATATGCCAAGAAATTTGAAAACCTAGGATTCAGGAAAACTTTCTAGAAAAATATAATCTTCCAAAACTCAATGAAGAAAAAGCAGAAAGCCTGAACAGACAATAATAGTTGATGAAATTGAAGCAGTAATCAAAGAAGTCCCGACAGACAAAAGCCCTGGACCAGGTGGTTTCACAGGAGAATTCTACAAAACATTGAAGGAAGAGCTAACCCCTATCTTTCACAGACTATTCAAGAAAATCCAAGAAGATGAAAGACTCCCAAACTCTCTTTATAAAGCCAGCATCATCCTAATCCCAGAACCATATAGAGACACAACAAAGAAAATTTCAGGCCAATATCGCTGATGAACATAGATGCTAAAATCCTCAACAAACTTCTGGCAGACTGAATCCAGGAATACGTTAAAAAGATCATACAGCATGATCAAGTGGGATTCATCCCAGGGATGCAAGGATGGTACAATATTCACAAATCTATGAACATAATACATCACATTAACAAAACAAAAGACAAAAATCACATGATCATATCAGTAGATGCAGAAAAAGCATATGATAAGGTGCAGCACCCATTTATGATAAAAAACACTCAGCAAAGTGGGAATACACATAGCATTCCTCAACATAATAAAAGCCATATATGAGAGACCTACAGCCAACATCATAGTCAATGTGCAAAAACTAAAAACTTTCCCACTAAGATCAGGAAGAACACAAGCTTGTGCACTTTCACCGCTCCTATTCAACATAGTTTTGGAAGTCCTAGTCACAGCAGTCAGACAAGAAAAGGAAATAAAGGCGTAGAAATTAGAAAGGAGGAAGCAAAACTCATTGTTTGCAGATGACACAATAGTGTACATAGAAAATCCTGCAGACTCAACCCAATAAATGAATTTGGCAAAACAGCAGGATACAAAGTCAATATTCAGAAATTGAAGGTATTTTTGTATACCAACAATGAAATGTCAGAAACAGAAATCAGGAAAAAATACCATTTGATATAGCAATCAGAAAAATAAAATACCTAGGGATAAACCTTACCAAGGAGGTAAAAGTCCTGTACTCAGAAAACTGTACAACACTGAAGAAAGAAATTAAGGAAGATACAAACAAATGGAAGCATGTACTGTGTTCATAGATGGTAAGAATTAACATCATCAAAATGTCCATACTACCCAAAGCAATTTATAGATTCAGTGCAGTCTCTATTAAAGTACCAATGACATATTTCACAGACATAGAACAAACATTGCAAAAATTTATATGGAACCATAAACAACCCTGAATAGCTGCAGCAATTTTGAGAAAGAAGAGCAAAGTAGGAGGGATCACAATACCTGCTATCAAACTGTATTACAAGGCCACAGTAATCAAAACAGCTTGGTATTGACATAAGAAAAGACACATGGACCAATGGAACATAATAGATAGCCCAGACATAAGCCAAGTCTCTATGGTCAATTAATATTTGACAAAGAGGGAAGAAGCATAAAATGGAACAAAAATAGCCTCTTCAACAAATGGTGTTGGGAGATCTGGACAGCTACATGCAAAAAAAATGAAACTCGAGCACCAACTAACACCATACATGAAAATAAATCCAAGGTGGATAAAAGATTTAAAAATAAGCCATGGCACCATTAAAGTCCTAGAGGAGAACTTAGGCAGGAAAATCTCAGATATTCCATGCAGCAATGTTTTCACTAATATGTCTCCTAGAGGGACATAAAGGAAAGAATAAACAAATGGGATCTCATCAAAATAACTCCTGCATAGCTAAGTAAAACAGCATTAAAGTGAAAAGAGAACCAACCAAATGGGGAAACATATTTGCTAATGATACCTCAGACAAGGGTTTGATATCTAAAATATATAAAGTACTCACATGACTTCACTCTAAGAAGACAAGCAACTCAATTTAAAAATGGGCAAAGGTCTTGAACAGACACTCCTCCCAGGAGGACATACAGAGGATCCAGAGACACATGAAAAGGTATTCAGTATCACTAGCCATCAGAGACATGCAAATTAAAACACAATGAGATACCACCTCACACCATTGAGAATGGCCATCATAATGCAACAAACAAGTGTTGGAGAGGTTGTGGAGAAAAGGGAACCCTAGCACACTGTTGGTGGGGTTGCAGACTGGTGCAACCACTGTGGAAACAGTATGGAACAAGCCCTCAAAAAATGTAAAAATGGAACTGCCTTTTCACCTGGCAATTCCACTGCTAGGATTATATCCTAAGAACCCTGAAAGACCAATTCAAAAGAACCTCTGCACCCCAATGTTCATAGCAGCACACTTTACAATAGCCAAGTCCTGGAAGCAACGTAAGTGCCCATCAGTAAATGAATGGATTTAAAAACTATGGTACATTTACACAATGGAATTCTACACAGCAGAAAGAAAGAAGAAGCTCCTACCCTTTGCAACAGCATGGATAGAACTGGAGAGCATTATGCTAAGTGACATAAGCCAGGCAGTGAGGGAGAAATACCATCTGATCTCACCTGTTAGTGGAACCTAATCAACAAAATGAACAAGGAAGCAGAATATAACTAAAGACATCAAAATTGAGAACAGGCTGTCAGTGACCAGAGGGAAGAGGGGAGGGCATATGGGGAAAAGGGTGAAGAGTTTACAGGAATAATTATAAAGGACATATGGACAATAATGGTGGGGGGTGGAAACAGAAAGGAGTGGATAGAGCTGGAGCATGGGGAGTGGTGTGGGAATAAGACAAAAAACAGTACTTGAACAAAAATTAAAAATGTTATTTAAAAAATTAAGTGTGATTAACGCTTAGCTCATGTTTGTAGCTTAACAGAATATTAGAAGCCTAAGGTCATCATATGCTTATAACAAAAGATTGATCATTTTAAAACAAAAATAGCACTTAAATTATGAGTATCTTAAAGGAGGGAAGTATAGTGTTAAACTTATTTTTATGGCTGCAAATAATTCTCAAAAATTTAATACATGCCCAAAATTGCTCAGCTTCCATTTAGAAAGTGTTCTAAGAAAGCCAGAAAATCATTCATTGTTTTAAATTAATAATTTGAGCGCTGCCCAAAGCTCACCACACTGCTCCGTGCTCACAGCCTTTGTGCATCACTCTACTCCAACATGGCAAAAATGTCCAGTCTTAGTGAGACTTACTGGTGCATCAAGTCCCTGATTGGTGTTTTCCAGAGTTATGCTGGAAAGGACAGTAACAGCTATACACTTTCCAAGATATTCCTAACCTTCAGGAATACAGAACTGGCCGCATTCACGAAGAACCAGAAGGACCCTGGTATCCTTAACTGCATGATAAAGAAATTGGATATGAACAGGAATGGGCAGTTAGATTTCTAGGAGTTTCCTAATCTTACTGGTGGCCTGGCAGCAGCTTGCTATGAGTCCTTTAGCTGTTCCCACAAGTATACCCGAGAAGTCCTTGGAGCTGGCCTCCAGACCCACACCCTCTCCTTCCAGCTTCCCAGTCATAATCATCTCCTCACAGACCACACATACCCTGAACCCAGTGTATCCACCACCCCCATGTCCCTCCTGCTGGTAGTAATAAAATATATTTTTCAAAATAAACCAAAAACTAATAGTTATTATTCCAAGGTAAGTGTACATGATTTACTCAATTATATTTTGAGGCATTTTTACAAGGGTAGAAATGTGATATGCTTTAGAAGGATAACTTATTATTCCCTTTTTCTTCTCATTCTTCGTTATGTAGAACAGCAAATGGCTTCAGCAGGCTTTTTTCTTATCTTTTGCAAGAAAGATTTATTTAATAGCATGTAGGTTAAAACTAAGAATATTGGTTATGTGGTATATAAGCATAAGAGAAGGATCCATGACAATCTGAAGACCAAACACAAATGTTTCGGTCGAACTTGAAATTTTAAAAGCCCACCCTGAAGTACCTCTCAACTCCTGTTTTTATTAGCATGCACAAAGGTGAATATACAGCATCCTATGTTTATAATCAATGGCTTACCAAATTCTCTGTGATGCATAGTTGTTTTTAAAAGAATGGGTTCTAAGACTACCTGCATTCTCTTCCCACTCTTCTAAGTAACCATTGTGGCTTGGAGTACCTCTCTTTTCAACCTCTCTTTGCCTGGTTGCCTCATCTATGTGATGGGAGCACCATCTCCACAGGTTAGTTGACAGAGTAAGTGAATTCAGACATAAAATACCAAGGATATTGCTGAGCTCACTGTAAGCATTCAAATTCAGGCCTCTTTTTTTCCTTGCTCATTTTTCCTTGCTCTTTTTTTCTTTGCTATTAATTGGTAATTCATCTGATCCCTCCATAAGATCGTCCTCTGCTGGTAAGTCTTTGGTTCATCTTCTCTTTCTCTTGAATTCCACTGTGTATTAATATAATTTTGACATTTCACACTCTGCCTTTTTCATTACTTATTCTCATTGCCCTTAACCAAGTGAAGGTAATTGTTATTTTCTGTTACCAAAGTATTTCACAATATTTTGTGTATCTGTACATGCATGTGTTGTACATATACAAGGATAGAAGGTTTTTATTGTTACAAATACAACATACTGTAGTAATTTATTTGCCTGTCTTTCTTGAATGTCTTGATGGCAGCATGCTCCTATTCATATATGTTATAGTTCATAAAATATAGGCCCTCAAAAAGTGACTTCTGAGTATTCTTTGTTTTTATCTCCCCATTTAGCTCATAAGGTTCTCTATAACACTATACTAATACACTACTTTCATTCTTCTCATAGTACTATATCATCAGTAGATAAATGACATAGTACTATATCATCAGTAGATAAATGAGTTAAGACTTCTTAGTAGTGTAAGTAATGTACACATTTGTAAATTAGAGCTTATTAGGTATTATTTCTCCATAAACATTGATATGATTTGTCTCCCTTATTAGGTGCAACAGTATTTGTCAGCAGTATTGAAAATGGAATGTGGTGTCGAGGAATTATTACTGAATTAATTCCAATAGAAAAGGAAAACGTTAGAAAATATTGTAGTCCAACCAAATTCTCAGTATGTGAAGTTGCACTAATACAAATATTTATGGTAGATTTTGGAAATTCTGAAGTCCTAATTGTTACAGGGTATGATATTTTATAATTATTGTGTGTACCCAGTCTGCTTGGAAACATTTGTGATTGCGGGGAGGGTATAAAGAATAAAGGAAACTGGGAAAGAGTGGAGAGGAGTAATTTACATTTCTTCACTTCTAAGGCATATACTTTTTATTTTGCTCTATTATTTGTCTTACTAATTATTAAATTAATAAAGTATTATTTAACAGTGTTACTAGACAGGGACCTAAGAAAAGGAGATTCTCAATGTATCTGAACTTACTCTTCTTTGTTTTTTCGAAGCATGGGAATGATGCATAAAAATAGTTTATTTGAACTAAAGTGTTGTAGTTAGCTGTAGGATGATTGACTAAAAATTTTAATAAAATTTCTCTTATTTTATTAATACATGTTAAAGTGGCATAGTGTCTAGCTCACTCTATGTTCAAAAATGTTTTCCAAGAAAATAAAACAAATTAAGAATGCTTTTGTAATAAGGACCAGTATTAACTACACAGCATGCTCTCTAATTACTTACTGGTCATAGCTTTATAAATAAGTAGATGTCTATTTGGGGACATCATTATCCCCTTAAGTTCAAGCTAAATAGATATATGCAAGACAACTCAGAAAAAGGCAATTGAGTATGTACGCTACAGATAAGAAAAAGTGTCTGTACTTACAAAAGCTGGATTTAATCTGTATTGTAAGGAAATATGCATTAGAATATAATTTCCTAGAAGATTTAATGTAAGGAGAATACTCTTAGAAATGTGTAACTTTTATGGGAGAAATAAGTTTGGGTTTGAAGCATTTTCAAAAAATATTACTGGAATTCTTCCTAGAATTGGTGATAACCATGTGAGATCAGAACACATTGCTGAGCAACGTGTAGTACTAAATGACTTATGTCTGGCCCTAAGGAAGTCTGAACCATATATTGAAGGGCTGCTGAAAGACGTCCAGCCATTAGCACAACCATGCTCATTGAAGGACATTGTTCCACAGAATTCAGTAAGTGGAACTCAAATTATGCTTTCATCTTGGGGGCTAAGTATTCCAGTTTTGGCTAGGCATTGCCAGTCAGATTGCTGAGTATAGGTTTAAGGCATCACTACTCCTGGTAAATCCATTTTGCGTAATAACCCGATAGGTGCTGATGAAACAAGAAACTAACTTTGCTTTCCACAACTGGAAATGTTCTTAGTGGGAACTTGAATAAACATATGTGAACATAATGATAGGTGAAATGTCCAAGCAAACCACTAAGTTTTGAAGTTAAACAAGTATGGGAAAATAAAATATGGTGTGGTTTATGTTTCTGTACATTTCTTCACTGTCTCCTTGGCACATTGTTCATTACTTATAGTCCATATGGCATTCTGCTTTGTAGTATTTATGGATATCTGGATATTCCTTATTGAGATTGCAAACGTCTGGGAGATAGGGGTTGTGTGTAAGAAAACATTTTAAGCAGTTATATTATTATGAAATCTATAAAAACAGGAATCTATATGTTTGCTCATTATTGTACTCCAGGCATGTAGCAGATATTTGAAAGAATGAGTAAATGAATAAAAACTAGGAGAAAACATAAAAATGTGTTTTCCTCAAAATGGTAAATTGTTTTTTTTATTGTTTCTTATTCTGAGTAGGCTTTACTTTTATGCTCATAAAACCTTTAGAAAAATGTTTTATTTTTGTTTTTAAGGAATGTGTAGTTTTGATTCTTGAAATTTACTTTAGGTTTAGGTAAAGTTTCAAAGATCAACCTAAAAACCTTTTTTCTAGTGGGTGAATATTTTTCTTCATTTAAGTAGCATATACCTCATTTATTGTAGTAATAGGAACTAAGTTAACTGGTCATGGTTATAAACATCTTGATTGTATTACATGGCTTCCATGATACTTCCAGAATTACCTTTTGAATTTTTTATCATTTAAGTGGAAAATTTATATTTAATACATGTTTTATTTTAAAATATTTATAATCTTTCTACTAATATTGAGAAGAGAAACTAAGTCCTGAAGTGCAGTAGCTATACAACCTTGAGATGATATTTATATATCAAAGTATGACCCACAACTGTGCATCTATAAGACTATCCTCAGATTTGTGGCCTCAGCTTCTGCTTTTAATGTCTGTGGTTGACTCAGTGCCTCTGCTCAGATTTGCAGACTTCAGTTGGTGTAAAGCTAAATCCCGAGCATTATAACATTAGAGCTAACTGTAATTACTGAGTTAATTGGAATTTAACTTTTTCCACAGAATGAAGCATGGGGAGAAGAAGCTAAAGTCGAGTTTTTGAAAATGGTAAACAACAAGGCTGTTTTAATGAAAGTTTTTGGAGAAGAAGATGGTGTGCTTATTGTAGATCTGCAGAAACCACCAACAAATAAAATAAGCAGTGACATGCCTGTGTCTCTTAGAGATGCATTAGTTTTTATGGAACTGGCCAGGTAGGTAATTTATTAAACCTTAAATATTTTTTGAGATTATAGCTATAAATTGGAATAGCAGATTTTACCTTTAAAAACTATGGGCTTCAAATATAACTTCAACATTCTCTGTTAAGAGATTAAAAATATTACTGTCAAGCTTTCTAATTACAGTTGTCTGTGAAAACTTTGTTCAGATCATTTGATTTAAAGAAATAGAGAAAGCACAGTACCTCAAAGTAGAAACTATTTGTAGATAGTGAACAATACTCTTGATAACTTCACAAGCAACTGCGCTAGGGTTTCAAGAATTGTAGAGTTCTGGCCAAGATGGAGGGGTAGGTAGAAACCCTTCACTTCTTCACACAACCAAAAAGAGGATAACAACCAATCTAAAATCAATAAACAAACAGAAGTGCCAGAAAATCAAACTGCATGGGACTCTGACAATCAAGGAATTAAAGAAACAGTCAACCAGACCAAGCAGACCTGTAAGATGGATAGACTGAGAGAACCTGCTGCAAGGCAATGGACCATGCTGGTGGGGCTGGCTGAACGGGAGACTGACACTCAGCTGACTGGACTACAGCAGGGGTTGCCTCAGTGGGAGAAACTCCCAGTCTTAAATGAGGATTTGGTGGAAAGTGGAGCTAGAGCTCAGCAGGCGAACTGCATTGTTCCCTTGCTGGCCCTTCTCCCACAGGCAGCATCAGAGCACAGCAAGGAGGGTTGCCCTGCCCTGGTGAATACCTAAGGTCCCACCCCCTTACAATTTAACAGGTGTGCCGAGATAAAGAAATATGGCCGAAATGAAAGAACAGAGCAAAATTCCAGAAAGAGACAAGGAGATAGCCAACCTGCCTGATGGAGAGTTCAAAACCCTGGTAATCAAAATGCTCACAGAACTGATTGAGCTTGGTTGCAAAATGAAAGGACAAATGAAAGCTACCCAAAATGAAATGAAGCAAAATACTCAGGGAACGAACAGTGACAGGAAGGAAACCAGGACTCAAAGCAATAATTTGGAACAAAAGGAAGAAGTAAACATCCGACTGGAACAGAATGAAGAAACAAGAATTCAAAAAAAAAAAAGAAGAAGAGAGGCTTAGGAACCTCTGGGACAACTTTAAACATTCCAATATCTGAATTATAGGGGTGCCAGAAGGGTAAGAACTAGAGCAAGAAATTGAAAATTTATTTGAACAAATGATGAAGGAAAACTTTCCCAATCTGGCAAAAGAAATAAGACCCAGGAAGTCCAAAAAGCCTAGAGAGTCCCAAAAAAGTTAGACCCAAGGAGGAACACACCAAGGCACATCATAATTAAATTACCCAAGATTAAGGATAAAGAGAGAATTTTAAAAGCAGCAAGAGGAAAGGAGAGAGTTACCTACAAAGGAGTGTCCTTAATACTATCAGCTGACTTCTCAAAAGAAACCTTGCAGGCAAGAACAGGCTGGCAAGAAATATTTGAAGTCATGAAAGGCAGGGACCTACATTCAAGATGTAGGTCCTACATTCTAAATGATAGAGATCCAGCAAAGCTATCATTTAGAATGGAAGGGCAGATAAATTGCTTCCCAGATAAGGTCAAGTTAAAGGAGTTCATCATCACCAAGCTCTTATATGAAATGTTAGAGGGATTTATCTAAGAAATTGAAGATGATCAAAAACTATGAATAGTAAAATGACAGCAAACTTGCAACTATCAACAAATGAACCTAAAAGAAAAGAAAAACAAGAACAAAAACTAGCAAACAACAGGATAGGAACAGAATCAGAGAAATGGACATCACATAGAGGGTTTTCAGCAGAGAGGAAAGGAATGGGGAGAAGGTACAGGGAATAATAAGCATAATTGGTAGGCATAAAATAGATGGGAAGAGGTCAAAAATGGTATAGGAAGCAGAGAATTCGAAGAACTTACATGTACAACCCATGGACATGAACTAAAGAGGTTGAATACTGGAGGGGGTACAGGGCAGAGGGAGGATAAAGGGGGGGAATTGGAAAAACTGTAACATCATAATCAATAAAATATACTCTTTACAAAAGGAATTGTAGTTTAACAGTTCCTGACAAATTTTCTAACTAGTCTGTATTTAATATATGAATCTAGAATGGGTTCTGTGAGTTCATTTCCTCCCTCATCTCAGTTACTGCAGAGATAGTGGAAGATACTAACTTTCTGTCCTGAGCAATTACACGACTCTGGAAGTGAACTAAGTAGGTTCTCTTCTGAAAAAAATAAAAGTAGGGTCTGGGAGCTGCAAGGGGCCATGGAGAGCCCTCAACTCTCCTGTCAGACTGGTTACCAATTCAAAAGAGTAGAGAAACTTAGAGGTCCAGCTCAAAAATGCTCCAACACAAATTTGAAGGTTAATTATTGAGGTTTGAAACTTAACATCTTATTTAACCCTTTTTTTGTAATTGGATACAATACCAAGAAGTATTATAAGTTAGAAGAGAGAAGTTGGAAAGGGTATACTCTTAGTAGATAAATCAGTATATGTACGAGTCCTTTCCTTAGATCAAGTCACTGAGAGAAGAGAGACTTAAAGAAAATGGCTCCTAATTATGCTTTTGATTATTCTTTTAACTAGGTTTAGGTCAAACTCACCAGGAAGTCATTGTGAAAAAAATACGATTTTACACTATCATCCACCTATTTTGCCTAAAGAAATGATGGATGCTTCAGTAATGGTTTGTCATATAAATAGTCCTTCTGATTTCTATCTTCAGTTGGTAAGTATATAGTGTTCCTTTGAAACAAATTATTTTGAAAGTTTTAAGTGGAAATGTATAACAGAAATGAGTGCCTAGTATGAATTTCAGAGCAAAACAAACCACTTATGAATCTTCTGAAAATTTAATTTTCTTAGTGGCTGCAACTTCAAGAAATTCACATAATTTATAGTGAATTGAGGGTGTTCTTCGTCATGCAAATTAGTGATTAGTGGAGGGAAAGGACAGTGAAGGATATATAATGTATAAATTTTTCTTGCTATCATCTGAAATCTACAGTTGACCCTTGAACAACATGGGATGCTAACCCTTGCCCCTCCTCATAAAGTCAAAAATCCACATATAATTTTGACCTCCCCCCCAAAATGTGAATACTAGTAAATAGTGTACTGTTGACCACAGGCCTTACCAACAACATAGTTGATTAACATATTTTGTATATTTCATGTTTTATATACTGTATTATTGAAATAAACTAGAGAAAATAAAATGTTATAAAAGTCATAAGGAAAATATATTTAACAGTATTTACTGGAAAAACCTGCATATAAGTGGACCCAAGCAGTTCAAACCAGTGTTGTTCAAGCATCAACTGTAGAGATTAGGAAAGCACATAGAGCTGACAAATCAAAATGAAAAAAGACCTGTTTCTGATCATGTATACCTGAACACTTATGAATTATTACTATGTAATTTTTGGAACTTGAGCGCCAAAATAGATTTCAAATTGAAGATATTTCATATTAAATTTTTGGACATGTGACTGGTGGATTTAGAAGGCTATTAACAGTGAGTTCATTCTTATTGATCTCTTTGCATCAATGCTCTATATAAATTAATTCATTCCAAGGGCCATAATGCTGTGTGTGAATTCTCATTAATCCACAACAATCCTATGGGAAAGATACAGTTACCTTCTTTTATATGTGGAGATAAACTGGAAAGGTGAAGCAACTTGTCATAGGTCACACAACTACAAAGGATAGAGCCAGGATCAGACTGGGCAGTGCAGCTTTATTCAGAGCCTGTCACCTCAAACACTGCACCACACTCTACTGCCTCCCCAAAGGAGTTGTGGAAATCTGCCTATTTGGCACTAAGTACAGCTTTTATGTGTTTCTTCTGTTAAATTTTTTGTGTCTTGAAATTTAGGTAAAACATATTTAACAAAATTTACTGTTTTAACCATTAAGTGTATAGCTCTGTGCCATTAAGTATATTCCCCATGTCGTGCAACCATTACTATTATTCCTCTCCAGATCTTCTTCATCTCAAATGGAAACATTATTCCTATTAAACAGTAACTCCCCATTCTGCACCCCCCGCAGTGTGTGACCTGTTCTGCTTTCTCTAAGTGTAAAACAAACACTAGTTTTTCTTGTGTGTGCCTTACTTTACTTAGTATAATGTTAACATGTTATAGCATGTATCAGAATTTAATTCCTTTTCATGGCTGATTAATGGTCATTTTATGTATATTCCATATTTGTTTATCCATCTATTGATGGACACTTGGATTGTTTTAAACTTCTGGATATTTTGAATAATGCTATTATGAACATGTACAGTTGTCTAGGTCTCTGCTTTCAGTTCTTTTAGGTACAGAACAAGGAGTCTAACTACTAGATTATAGTGTATGAATTCGGTTTAACTTTATTTCAATATTATTATTGTATTAGTTTCAGGTGTACAATATAGTGATTAGACAATCATGTACCTTGGAAATACCTTGGAGAGCAGGCCTCCCAATATTTTCCAATACCCACCTGGCACCATGCATAGTTATATCCCTATGACTATTTTGTAACTACCAATTCATACTTCTTTTTTGTAAGTTTTAAAAAATTTATTTATTATTGATTTAGAGCTATGAATTATTTTATTGTATTTTTTTAAATTACCATTTAGTCCCCTTAAACTCTCTTCCCCCCACAATCATCACACTATTATCCTTGTCCATGCATCCATTTCCTTTAGGCTCAATCCCTCCACCCGCTGCCCTCCCCTACCCCTTAGCTGCCTTCCTGCTATCTATGAGTCTGTCTCTATTTTGCTTCTTAGTTCTGTTTGTTAATTAGATTCCACATATGAGTGAAATCATATGGTAGTTTTCTTTCTCTGCCTGGCATAATTCATTTAGCATAATGCTTTCCAGGTCCATCTATAATCTATACTGTTACAAAGGGTAAAACTTTCTTCCTTTTTACAGCCAAGTAAAATTCCATTGTATAAATATCTCATACTTGTTTTATCCACTTATCTACTGATGGACACTTGGGCTGCCTCCATATCTTGGCAATTGTAAATAATGCTACAATAAACATAGGGGTATTTATGTTTTTTCAAATTAGAGTTTTGGGTTCCTTTGGGTATATTCCCAGAAGTGAGATTGCTGAGTCAAAAGGCGGATCCATTTTTAATTCTTTGAGGTATCTCTATACTGCTTTCCACAGTGGCTACACCAATCTGCATTCCCACCAACAGTGCGTAAGAGTTCCCCTTTCTTCACATCCTAACCAGTGCTTGTTGTTTGTTGATTTATCAATGATAGCCATTCTGACTGGTGTGAGACGGTATCTCATTGTGGTTTTAATTTGCATTTCTCTGATGATTAGTGACATTGAGCATCTTTTCATGTGTCTATTGGCTATGTGTATATCCTCCTTGGAGAAGTGTCTGGTCAGGTCCTTTGCCCATTTTTCAATCGGGCTTTTCGTGGTGGGGGGAGTTGTTTTTTGGGGGGGCGGGGGTTGGTGTTGAGTTTCCTAAGTTCTTTCTTTTCACATTATATTTTATTTTTATTTTTATTTATTTTACCATTTTTTATTGTTTGAATACACTTGTATCCATTTTCCCTCCACCACTTTCCCCCACCCAACCCACCACCACCTCCCACACTGAATCCTACCCCCCTTTGGCTTTGTCCATGGGTCCTTTACATGTTCCTTGATGACTCTTTCCCTTCTTTCCCCTGTTAATCTCCATCCCCTTCCTCTCTGGTTACTGTCAGTTTGCTCTTTATTTCAGTGTCTGTGGTTATATTTGGCTTGCTTGTTTGTTTGTTTTGTTGATTAGGTTCCAGTAATAGGTGAGATCATATGGTACTTGTCTTTCACTGCCTGGCTTACTTCACTAGGCATATTGCTCTCCAGTTCCATCCATGCTGTCATGAAGGGTAGGAGCTCCTTCTTTCTCTCTGATGTGTAGTATTCCATCATGTAAATGTACCACAGTTTTTTTGATCCACTCATTTACTGATGGGCACTTGGGTTGCTTCTAGCACTTGGCTATTGAAAAGTGTGCTTCTATGAACATTGGGGTGCATAGGTTCTTTTGGATTGCTGTTTCAGGGCTATTAGGGTATAATCCCAGCAGTGGAATTCCTGGTTCAAAAGACAGTTCCATTTTTATATTTTTGAGGGAGTTCTATACTGTTTTCCACAGTGGCTGCACCAGTCTGCAATCCCACCAACAGTGTACTAGGGTTCCCTTTTCTTCACAGCCTTGTCAGCACTTATTATTTGTTGACTTGTTTATGATGGCCATTCTGACTGGTGTGAAATAGTAGATATCTCATTGTGGTTTTAATTTGCATCTCTCTGACGGCTAGCGATACTGAGCATCTTTTCATATGTCTGTGGACCCTCTGTATGCCCTCCTTGGAGAATTGTCTGTTCAGGTCCTTTGCCCATTTTTTAATTGGTCTGCTTGTCTTCTTAGAGTGGAGTTGTGTGAGTTCTTTATATATTTTGGATATCAAACCCTTGTCTGAGATATCATTGGCACATATATTTTCCCATATGGTTGGTTCCCTTTTCATTTTGCTGATGATTTCTTTAGCCATGCCAAAACTTTTTAATTTGATGTGGTCCCATTTGTTTATTGTTTCCTTTATGTCCCTTGTTCTAGGGGACATATTGGTGAAAATACTGCTACATGGAATATCTGAGAATTTGCTGCCTGTGTTTTCCTCTAGGACTTTTATGGTATCATGACTCATATTTAAGTCTTTTACCCATCTTATGTTTATTTTTGGGTATGATGTAAGTTTTCAGTCGAGCCACTCTTTTGCATGTAGCTGTCCAGATCTCCCAACACCATTTGTTGAAGAGGCTATTTTTACTCCATTTTATGCTTATTCCCCACTTTGTGTAATATTAATTGATCATAGAAACTTGGGTTTATTTCTGGGCTCTCTATTGTGTTCCATTGGTCCATGTGTCTTTTCTTATGCCAGTACCAGACTGTTTTGATTACCGTAGTCTTGTAATATAGTTTGATGTCAGGTATGGTGATTCCTCCTACTTTGTTGTTCTTTCTCAAAATTTCTGTGGCTATTCAAGGTCATTTATGATTCCATATAAATTTTAGAAATGTGAGGTATGTCATTGGTATTTTAATAGAGGTTGCATTGAATCTATAAATTGCTTTGGGTAGTGTGGACATTTTAATAATGTTAATTCTTCCAAATATAAACATGGAATATTTTCTGTTTATTCATGTCTTCCTTAATTTCTTCCTTCTGTGTTGTGTGGTTTTCTGAGTACAGGTCTCTCACCTCCTTCGTTAGTTTTATTCCTAGGTACTTTATTTTTCCTGTTGCTCTTGCAAATGGAATTTTTTTCCTGACTTCCATTTCTGATATTTCATTGTTGGTATACAAAAACGCCTTCAATTTCTGAATATTGACTTTGTACCCTGCTGCTTTGCCAACTTCACTTATTAGGTTGAGTTGTTTTTTGGTCAAGTCTGTGGGGGTTTTTGTGTACATTATCATGCCATCTGCAAACAATGACACTTTTGCGTCCTCCTTTCCTTTTATTTCTTCTTGTCTGATTGCTGTGACTAGGACTTCCAATACCATGTTGAATAGAAGTGGTGAAAGTGGATGTCCTTGTCTTGTTCCTCATCTTAGTAGGAAAGCTCTTAGTTTTTATGCATTGAGTATGATATTGGCTGTAGGTTTTTCATATATGGCCTTTATTATATTGAGGTGTGCTCCCT